TTGCTATGCAGGCATTCAACTAAGACTAGTCTTCTCCTTTCATCTTCTACCTTTAATTTCTTCTTTTTCTAATATTCCTGGATAACTACTGAATCGTAAGGTTTTCTTCGGGTCTACTAAAGTTTTTTATCATACATGCCCACATAAAATAGATAAGCTTGACAAGGATAGTGCCGAAGACTAAAACTAAAGTTATAGACGGTCAACACTTAGGAGAAGGCAGGACCATGCATTAAATTAATTAAATTAAAATATTAAATTAATTAAACTAAGGACTGTTGCTCTATAAATTATATTATCTTCACCAAATTTAATTATAATACTAATTCTTTACTCCTTTTTCCTCTTTTTTAACTTTTCGTTATTAATTTTTATTCAAACATATTATAATACTGTTCCGAAGGCCAGCCAATTGTGAACCATGAAACATCTTCTTGACTCAGTGACTCAGTCGATAGCAGAACCATGGAGAGTGAGCAGACTCGGATAATGGTGGCAGCGAATGAGTCAACGATCAAAGGTTACCCGCAACATCTAGGGAAGATCGTCTGGATTAGCTGCTGGGGAGCAGACTCGGATTAGCTGCAGGGGAGCGTTCGACTGGATTCTAGGGAAGATCGTCGGATCAAACACCACCGGTTTCAAACTTCTCTTCCTTTAATTGATCGCTTTCTTTTGTGAATGAAATGGGGAATTGATGTTTGCCATAAAGTAAGACTTTTGTACCGTAGAAGACAATGGTAACACTGATTTAAAAAAGATAAGGTTGGAGAGTGACTGTCATGGGCGTGGTCATGACAACTAGCAGAATTGTTAAAGGTAATAAATTTATATATAATTTGATTAATATTTATAATTTTTAAAAAATAAGTAGTTGTGATTTTTAAACATATAAATTTATAAATTAATTTTAATTTATTAAGCAATAATTATTACTTATTCTATCAATTATTAGTTGTTCTTAATAATTAAATTAAACAAAATTAACATTTTTTAACATTGTTTTGGTAGCTTTAATATTTTCGTTAATGGCCATAACCACCCCTGATGGTATTTAGGAGGGATTTCAACGAGGCTCTATTTGGTTGGAAGGTCAATTTAGAGCCTGTCTAGTTGAGTTTTTTGAAACTTTTATTTTTTTTAGTACTATTTATGAATAATAAATTTAAATTTTTATTGAAAAAATTTAAAAGTTGTTTTTAAAAATAGTAAAAAGTGAGTAAAAAATAAGTAAAAAGGTATATAAAAAGTAAAAGTTTGAAATTTTTTAAAATTTATTGTTTAAAACTAAAAAAATTAAAAAATATAAGTTTTTAAGAGAAAAATTTTAATTTATAAAACTTAAA